GGCTTGGGTTGTTCCCCCCATGGGGAATCTTACCCGTCTTTGGCTAACCGACCAAGCTTTTTGGGGTTCAGCAGCCGAAACAGCATTCCTGCCAGGAAGATAAGCTTTTGTCTCCTTGCCGGCTCACGGTTCCAAGGGCGTTCCCTTAGCCTTAGCTAGGCGGGGGTTTCAGCTTCTAATACCAGTCAGGGCGGTTCCCAACACTTCTTCCTGGATATCAACAGCCTTGATTTCCCCAACTTCAACCTACCATTTGAGAAGACTTCATATACCTGTTCTATCCTACCTAAATGCATCAGGTTTTACAGGCAGAGCCCTCAAAATATACATAAGGTAAACTCCAGTGTGCTCGGGTCATAAAGAATAGGTAATATTTTTTCTTCATTCCAAGCTTCCTCATTCCAGCACCATTGCAGCGAACAGTTAAAGACTTGGTAACAACAAGGTTTCCTCACGTCTGCCAAGATTGGCATCTAGTGCTGATTTTACAGAACTGCGCGTTTCAGCTCCCCCTCCACCACCACCAAAAATGCTTGTTGTTTCACTGGCACTTTGTATTTATAACATGGCAGAACTGTATGTATATGCCAGGTATTAGTCTGGGAACAGAATCCACTTCATGGAATTATCTAGTCCATAAATTATACAGGCCTTATGGATATTCTATCATATAGCTGGGGCTCGTAAATAATTCCCCACAGGATTCCAGGTTTAATTTCCTAATATTGGATTTACTCTGGAAAGTAATTCTTAGGCTGTGTTTGTGCCTACTGGTAGATCTTGATGTCTTTGACATTGTGGGGTGTCTTACACATTTTTACCACTGTATTAACTTCATCAGGCTTCCTTAACAAAGCATCTTAGACTAAGTGGCTTAAACAACAGAAATTTTTTAACTCACTGCTTTGGAGGCTAGACGTCCAAGATCAAGGTGTTGGGCAGAGTTGGCTCTTTCTGAGGAATGTAAAGAAGACTCTGTTCTTTGCCTCTCCACTTGCTTCTGGTGGTTTGCTGGCAATCTTTGGTGTCACATGACTTTGTAGAAGCATCACCTTGCTCCCCACCTTCACCTTCATGGGGCACTGTCCCTGTGTGCCAGTCAGTCTCCAAATCTCCCCTTTCTGGAAGGACATCAGTCACACTGGGTTAGGGTCTACCCTAATGACCTCAGTTTATAACAACTGCAACGAACCTATGTCCAAATGAGTCACATACTAATATACTGGTGTTAAGATGTTAATATATGAAGTTTTGCAGGAGATACAGTTTAATCCACCACAACTACCAATCTCATGATAACTCCAGACTTCATTTCTGCCATGTTGGTGTCAGGGTTAGTCATGAAATTGCTTTGGCCAATAAAATGTGAGTAGACGTAATGTGTGTACCTCTGAGCAGAATGTAAGAATTTTATTCCCTCTGCTATCAAACTGGCAGTACTGCAGATAGAGGCTATTTCATCAACCTGTGTCAGAGTGACAGTGACATGGAACAGAGCAGCAGCTGACCTTCGTGTATGTGTACATGAAAAAGAAATAAATCTTTATGGTCTTAAGCCACCACAACCTTGGGGTCCTTTGTTACTGAAAGCATAAATTAGCTTAAACTAACTGACACTCTAAGAACCTAACTAAAGCTAAGGAACACCATAAGCTCACTCCTAATGTATGGGTTTTTTCATTCATTTATTAGATACTTATTAAAAATGCTATGTGGCAGGCATAGGACTGTGATGGCACTGTAACAGTTAATTTTATGTGTCAAATTAGCTAGGCCACAGCACCCAGAGATTTGTTCAAACACCAGTTATATGTCTCTGTGAAGGTATTTTTTCAGAGGAAATTAACATTTAAATCAGCAGACTTTAAGTAAAGCAGATTACCTTCCATAATGTGGTGGGCCTGATCCAATCAGTTGAAGGGCCTTAAGACACAAAACACTGAGGTCTGCTCCTCCACCCCCCCCCCAGGAAGAAGGAATTCCATCTGCAGTTACCCTTCAGACTCAAGCTGCAGCCTCAACTCCTCCATGGGATCCCCAACCTGCAAGACTGTTCAGCAGACTTTAGAACTTGCCAATCCCCACAAATTGCATAAACCAATTTCTTAGTATTGGTTTTCTAGAGACACAGAACCCATAGGGTTTGTCCAGAAGGTATCCAGCCATGTAATATGAAAAAATAGAGATATTTATTGAAGGAGATGCAAGATACAAGAAACATTGTATGTAGGACAGTAATGTCTCAGTCCCCTTCAAAGTAGGCACTTTGGGACCTCACACAGTTCTCCCAATGCACCATCAGCTGCCCCATCATATTTTCCTGAATCTCATCAACGGTCTGAAATCTCTTCACTTTCAAAAGGTGATTTTAGTTTTGGGAAAATCCAGAAGTTTGCAGGATGCCAAATCTTGGCTGTGGGGGGGCTGAGTCACCTGGGTGATTTGATGTTTTGCCACAAAACTGCACAAGACGTGATGCATGTGTGTGCATGTTGTTGTGATGAAGCTGCCAATCACCAGTTGCCCACAGCTGTGACCTTCTGCAATCATCCAAATAGTTTCCACAGAAGAATGTTCAAGCTTAATGCTAAATTTGATGCAGACTCATTGCTCTACTCACTCAGTCATTTTGAATGTGATGGCCACACAGTACACATGATCACTCAACAGCAAATACCACTCCCATTAAGTAGTACAGTGAAGTTGTCATTGTTCACACATGCATATTCCAGTCCGCTCTCCTTGGCTGCCAGGTTACATCAATGTTGCACAAACTGTTCTCGTTATATTATCAGTGGTTGAACTTTTTCCAGACAGACCTGTTGATTCTGTTTCTCTAGAGAAATCTGATTAATACATACCCCCATCAGTGAACAATCTAGCAATAATTCTCATAGATCTTACAGTCTAAAGAAGGATACAGACAAGCAGAAAAGTTACAGTGTTATGTAGTAGATCCTGGGAAGTACTCCATTTAATAGTAGGAGTGCCTAACCTTGACTTGGGGTGTCAGAGAAGGCTTTCTGGAGGAAATAAGTCTAATTTGGGAACTGAAGGTGGCAGGTGGAATAGGAGTTATTGGCTAAGTACAAGGATGGGGTAGTGGGGACAAGGGATTAGACTGAGTATAGAGCATGTATTCTCCACAGGGATATTATTGCTCCCAAAGGGGAGAAAATTGGTGCCCTAACAGGTGAAATAAACCTTAGCTATTACAATGTTGTGACCATGCAGAGTTCAACTCTATGTGACAAAAATCGTATTCCTTAATACTCAGTGAGGAAGTAGGGGAGATGGTTAGAACAAACATCTAAATTGTCTCCTTGGGTGGGGGGCACTGATGAAAAAGATGTGGAGAAACATTGGCATGGAAAGACCAGTTTGGGCAGATGAGTGATCACATGTGGAGCTATGGAAGTGAGAGAAAACGGAATATTTGAACTATGGCAATAGTTGAGGCATGGAGTTGGGAAGAAGTGGACGTAGGGAGAGTAGCGAGAGGAGGCTGTTCTCGCCACACATTCTAAAGAAAATTAACTCTGAGAAGGCGTTTGCCCTCAATTATCTAAATAGTTGAAGTAAAATTAGACTTTATGTCAAAATTATCTGCTGCAGACTGCTTACTTTTTAATATATGAATTTGTACTTTGTGTTTATAGTCATGTACTGAGTGAATCATTAAGTTTTAAACATTTTTTTAGAGATGGCAAAGGACAATTGTTAAACTGTCTTTTTCTATCTGTCATTCTGGGACATTTTAGTTTTATAATTATAGTCTCTAGAATAGCATCATGTTCCAGTGGGTACTTAATCATAATGCTGTTCTGGAAGGCACATTAACCTCTGGAGAATTTGCATGTGATTTACCTCACTGGAGCTTCAAAGATTAAAAACATGAGAGTAAAAAGGTATTTTTCTTGGCTTCATTATTGGGAATAGAATGAGAACAATGATCTATTTAATAACCATTATCATTATCTTCCCCACAAATTGAATTAAAATTACTTTAATATTCTATTAGGGTAATCTTTATAAATACACTGCCAATCATATTTTTTATTTCCAGCAGCTTGTTAACATGAACTCAAAGCTAATTCAATCCTTTTGCAAGATAATATAAACTTAATTCTAGAATCTAAAAATCTAAAAAATTGTATGCTGTACTATAATTTTGACCTTGAGTGTTTTTCTTTGATGTTCCCTAGCCTGCTTAACGTTAAGTAGAACTTATCTAATGTCAGATACAAATTTTTTTAAGAAGCAGTATTCTAATAAATATTTTTACAAGGTCTTGTTATGAATAGTCCTGAGTATGTGTTCTCGAATCAGACTGCCTGGGTTCAAATCCTGAGCTGTATCCAGTTGGGTTTAAATGTAACTAGCTTTTCTAAATTTGGGCAGATGTGTAAAGTTATGTGATCTTTTCTTCTCTGTACCTCATTTTCTCATATGTGGAGTTGTGAATACTATGTGAGTAAATTATGTAAAAACACATAGAACTGTGCCTGGTACATGCCTAGTATTCAATTATATTAGCTATTATTATTGTTACTATTACTGTCATTATTTGAAACCCCTTATTAAGTGGTTTTAAAAGCATTTGTTGAGTGCTTCCTGTATACTATAGGAGAAACTGTTAGTACATCTTACATAAAATGACATTCAGACTCAAGATATTGTTTAAACTTTTTAATGATTATTATTCTCTTCGGTACATTTCAGATCTTTAAATTGATTTATTTTTTTAAACGAGGATGATATTTTGGTTCTTATGTGAGAAAATAAACATCTAAAATTTATAAGAAAAAGCATTCCTTGGCATAGTAGGTAGGAGATGAATTCCTCTTCAGAATTTTTTATTGAAGCCTAGCATCTACATTTATGGTGCTGGTTTTTTTTTCCAGGTCAACAATAGGGTGAAGAGTTACCCATGATTTTCTGGCATTTTTGAACTTTGATTAAAGAAATTTAAACACTCTTTTAATATTTATACCTTTCAGAGAATGTCTTTGAAATTTAAAAATGCCAAACGAATAGAAGGCCTTGACAGTAACGTGTGGTGAGTACCTGAGAACCAGCAGTAGTCACGTGGCGAGTTTTTGTCCTGCACATTGTTCTATCCAGACTGGGGAATTTTTAGCCTTGTCTGTGGTCTATCAACAAATCACCTTATTTTAATTCATTCATTAAATGGAAATGGAAGGATAACTTCCATTCCAATGGAATGATCCATCCTCTGATTTGTTCATTGAGCAAATGTGCCGAGCCCTGTGCTAGTCATGGGAAATAGGCAGAGGAAAGACAAATTTGGCTGATGCCGTCATGGAACTTACCTTCGAATCTCTTCCTATTAGCTTCCGTCTCTAACAGTCCATTAGAGAACATACCAGGGCTGGTGTGGCTGAGAAAAAATCTATGATTAAAATTTGGGTGTCACAGAATTGAGATTTGTACGAAGCATTATTTGTTCATCTCTCATTTCATTAAGTGAAGTCATTTTGTAGATGGTAAAATTTTTTTGATAACTCATGTTTTTTTAATCTGTTGGACTACAGCAGGCCTTATTTTTCAGCTTTATAATTAAATTATGAAGTATAAAAAGGTAGTGTTGTAATTATAGTGCTTATTAATATTAGTATTTTTTTATTTTAGGATTGAATTTACCAAGTTGGCTGCAGACCCCTCTGTTGTGAATCTTGGCCAAGGCCTTCCAGATATCTCCCCACCTGAGTATGTGAAGGAAGAATTATCAAAGGTTGCAGCTATGGATAGCCTGAATCAGTATACACGGGGCTTTGTAAGTACAGGAGGGCCGTGTAGGGCATGAGCTTGTACTTGATGTTGTATTATGTGTGAACATATTTCTATCACCTTTGTGCAATTGGCTTCCTGGGACCAATCTGATAACCAAGGAACATTACCTGTTCCCTTGGCCCCTAGGATGAGCCGCCGTCCTCCACTTCTAGCCCCTGCACAGTCCTGTTTTGGCCCTTCCTTTATACTGTTGTTGGAGAATGGCAGCGGGGGAGGGAGATGTCTTCCTGAGACATAGGTTTCTTTCCCACTAACACTTGTGCAGCTTTATCACTGCCTCTTAATTATCCTTTATTTCCAACTAGTTACTTTCTTCTACTCTACCTCAGCCCAACTCCCATTCTTCTGTGATTAAATGTTCAGGATATCCACAGATTTCCTAGATTCTTAAAAAAAAATTACTAAGTAAATTGAGCAAGGTTGTAGGATACAAGGCCAATATGCAATAATCCAAAAATCAATTGTATTTCTTTTTTTTTAAGATTTTATTTATTTATTTTTAGAGGGGAAGGGAGGGAGAAAGAGAGGGAGAGAAACATCAATGTGTGGTTGCCTCTCACACGTCCCCCTACTGGGGACCTGGCCCACAACCCAAGCATGTGCCCTGACTGGGAACAGGACCAGTGACCCCTTGCTTCACAGGCCAGCACTCAGTCCACTGAGCCACACCAGCCAGGGCTCAATTGTATTTCTATATACTAAAAATAAATGGTTAAACTATAAAAAAATTTTTAAATACCATTTGCAATAACATCCAAAACCATGAAGTATTTGGAATTGAACTTTTAAAATAAATGTAAAATCTGTGCACTGAAAATTGCAATACATTTCTGAAAGAAATTAAATAATACCTAAATAAATGGAGTGATGTATGATGTTCATGGGATAAAAGACTAAATATTGTTAAAATGACAATTCTCCCTCATTGATTCATAGCAGAGTTTGTCAATTTATGGCTTGTGGCTAAATCTGATGCACTCCTGATTTTTTTTAAATAAAGTTTTATTAGAACATAACTGTGCCCATTCATTTGCATGTTTTCCAGTTTTTGTAAATATATGACTGTATGTGTATGAGGAGGGACCCCCTAAAAAACCATAATTATCTTCTGGAGGCTGGGCCCCTTATAGTACAGGCTTCCCCCCACTAGGTGAGTGTGCTAGAAACCCACCTGTATCAGTGTACCAGCTGCTGTTGTGAGAGGCTGCATTCAGCTTCAGTGAATTTTTTTTTGAGACTTAACTTATTTGCCCTGTTTCATGATAGGGTGATTATTTTTTAGCACATCTGCCCACACTGTGCTGAGTGTTCGGCAATGTTTGACCAAAAATGGCATGACCCCTCTACCCCCACCTTCCCTATTCACCAGATCTTGCTCCAAGCAACTTTTTTTTTGTTTCCCTGGATGAAAAAAGTCCTCAAAGGGAAAGATTTTGCTGTTGTGGAAGAGGTAAAACAAAAAATAGCAGAAGCACGAGAAGACATCAAAATTGAAGAGTTCAGTAATTATTTTCAGGAGTGGGGAAAAAGCCTTTTTTAAATATATTTTATTGATTATGCTATTACAGTTGTCCCATTTCCCCCCTTCACTCCCCTCCACCCTGTACACCCTTTCCCACCCACTCCGCCCCCCTTTAGTTCATGTCCATGGGTCATGCTTATAAGTTCTTCGGCTTCTACATTTCTCATACTATTCTTACCCTCCCCCTGTCTATTTCCTACCTACAATCTATGCTACTTATTCTCTGTATCTTTTTCCCCCTCTCCTCCTCCCACTCCCCTTGTTGCTAACCCTTCCATGTGATCTCCATTTCTGTGGTTCTGTTCCTGTTCTAGTTGTTTGCTTAGTTTCTTTTGGTTTTGCTTTAGGTGTGGTTGTTAATAATTGTTAATTGTGAGTTTGCTGTCCTTTTACTATACATGTTTTTTTTTAATCTTCTTTTCTTAGATAAGTCCCTTTAACATTTCATAAAATAAGGGCTTGGTGATGATGAACTCCTTTAACTTGACCTTATCTGAGAAGCACTTTATCTGCCCTTCCATTCTAAATGAAAGCTTTGCTGGATAGAGTAATCTGGGATATAGGTCCTTGTCTTTCATGACTTGGAATACTTCTTTCCAGCCCCTTCTTGCCTGTAAGGTCTCTTTTGAGAAATCAGCTGACAGTCTGATGGGAACTCCTTTGTAGGTTACTATCTCCTTATCTCTTGCTGCTTCTAGGATTCTCTCCTTCATTTTTTACCTTGGCTAATGTAATTATGATGTGCCTTGGTGTGTTTCTTCTTGGGTCCCACTTCTTTGGGACTCTCTGGGCTTCCTGGACTTCCTGGAAGTCTATTTCCTGTGCCAGAATGGGGAAGTTTTCCTTTATTATTTGTTCAAGTACGTTTTCAATCTGTTGCTCTATCTCTTCCCCTTCTAGTACCCCTATAATTCGGATGTTGGAACGTTTAAAGATGTCCTGGAGGTTCCTAAGCTTCTCCTCATTTTTGTAATTCTTATTTCTCCATTCTTTCCTGTTTGGTGGTTTCTTTCTTCCTCCTGGTCCACTCTATTGTTTTGAGTCGAGTTTCCTTCCCTTCACTATTGGTTCTCTATGCATTTTCCTTCATTTCTTTTATGGTAACCTGCATTTGTTCATCTAATTTGTGACCAAAATCAACCAATTCTGTGAGCTTCCTGATTACCAGTGTTTTGAACTGTGCATCTGATAGGTTAGCTATCTCTTGGTCACTCAAAAGGATGAGTTCTGGGGCACTGATTTGTTCTTCTGTTTGAGCCCTTTTTTGGGGGGGGGTCTGGTTGCTCCTGTTAGGGTGAGGGGCGGAGCCTTAGGTGTTCACCAGGGCTGGGCACCCCAGTCACTAGATTGTGACGTTGTATGTGAGGGCAGGGGCGGAGGGAACAATGGCGGTAGCTCCATTCAGTCCCTTCCCTGGGATCCTTGGTTGTGTGCTCTGCCCTACTCCACACTCGCCGCCTCACTGGGTCCGCCAGCTGCCGCTTGCATACTCAGGGTCCGCCCGCTGCGATCTTGCGCTCCCCAGATGCCTTACACGCTCCGGTTGCCTTCTGTGCCCAATTCTGCCTGTACTCCGCCCAGCGACCCACACCTGGCTACTTGTCTCCACCCCTCCTACTGGTCTGGATAAATGGGTCTACTTCAAGTTCTTGGCTGTCCGACTTCCATTCAGATAAATTTTCTATCAGTTCTGGGTGTTATTCTGCCTCTAAATTGTTGTTGTTCCAATCTTGGTTGTGTGTGGAGGTACGGTGTGTCCACCTATGCCTTCATCTTGCCAGAAGTCCCCGAAAAAGTCTTGATAGGTGTATTGCATCAAATGGAAAGTAGTTTGAACGTGACTGAAATTTAAACATGTAACAATAAATACATAATTTTTTATAAATAAATTCCCTTTTTTGGGAAGTCCCCCCTTATATATTGGTATAAGCACTGGCAATGGTATTTAACTAGTACCAGGCTGAGGACATTACACCTCAGGGACAGGGAAGAAAGTGAGGTTGAGGAGAAATCATAATTTTTTTACATGTCTTTGCTATGTAATTACTATATAAAGCATGAATTAGTTTTGTAATTAAGAATATTTCCAATCACAGACCCTTATCATTCTGAGAAAAGATGGTTAGTGTTTATTATAATTGCCTTCAAATCTCCCTTTGCTAGAATTTGTTAGGCCTGGTATTAAAAGGAAACTTTGGATTTCTGGGAATAGAGACAAACTTCTGTTGCTCTTTCCATAATTTCTGTGTATTTTTTGAGCTTGAATTTATGTGGTCTTTTTCTCTCGCTATTGTTTTTCAGTTTATTGCCTATGTTCTATTACCTCTTCTATTATTAATTATTCCCAGGTTCTCTAATATTATGGTATCTTCTAATTTCAAAATATGAAAAAAATGTACTATAGCTTTATGTTTATTTTTAACTCAGTGAAGGTTTGACACATACTAGTCAATAATTTCAAAGGAATAAAAAGGTGACAAATAAGTGCATCTTTCACCCCAGAAATGCCTGGTTTTCTTCATTTGAACTGGGGTGGACAACGTACAAGGAACCTCAGGCCCTTTTCCCTCACAAACCCGGGGTGTATCCAACTAGCCTCCCTCTTCCAAACCACGTTTGTTCCTCCAGAGCACAGGAACTTTCCACACAAAAGCGTATTACCTGCACTTGGACGCTTATTGACATGTGACTGAAAATCAGGGTGGTTCCCCAAAAGCAAAACAGGAAAGTAAATGCTGGATAGAAAAAAATAAATATTGACTTTAATACCTAAAATCACAAGGAGGGGGAAAGGGAGGGAAAAGAAAGAGAAGGAGAGAAGGGAACAGAAGAAAACGGAATAGAAGACTGAGGAAGGGCTAATCAAGAAGTCAGGCTTCCCCACACCTCAGACTTCGTGCATACACAGTCCCCTCGGTCCTCGTGTTTAAGTGTTCTCCTGGGTGACTATTGCTCTCTGGGCTGTCAATAGGAATAGTGTTCCACTTCTCCCTTGCATCTGCTGTTAGCACATTGACACTAATGTGCATTGCTCTGGTGAATTTCCTTTTTCCCTTGTAGTCCATGGGTTTGAATAACCCTCTCTCCTGCAACCTGGAACAACAGAATCAAGTGATACATAGTTAATACAGGTTTTTGGCTCTGTTTATCTGGGAAAAATATCTAACTCCATTCAATATGACTTAATTACTGTCAAAAAGTCAATGTGCTCTGATTACTATCAAAATGTACTATCAAAAATATATTTGATATTGAAGTCAATTTTTATTCAAAACAAATAATTTGATATTTAGTATTCTAAAATCAGTCACTTCATAGGAAGTTTTCAGTCATTGACAAGTCTTCATAGTCATTCATATGGGAACCTTTGAATGTAGGAAAAAAATTTTAATTAACTGCCAATTAAAAGTACATATCTTCTTTGGGTATTCATAAAACCTGCATTTTAAAAATTCTTGCACATTTAGAACTAAATTATTTTAAAGAAGTAGGTTCCATAACTCAAGTTTTTTTTCTTCTGTTTTATTCAACAGGGTCATCCATCACTTGTGAAAGCTCTGTCTTGCTTATATGAAAAGTTTTATGAAAATCAGATCGATCCGAATAAAGAAATCCTCGTTACAGTAGGAGCCTATGGGTCTCTTTTCAATGCCGTTCAAGGGTTAATCAATGAGGGGGATGAAGTAAGTGTGTTAACATGATCATTTACCTGTTTTCATCATTATCATTTGTCCTGCCTTTGAATCTTTTACTTATTTTACGCTCTCTTATTTTTTAATTATTTTTTGAAGTATAGTGCATATGCATCAAAGTTCACAAACCTTAAATGTACAATAAATGTTTACATGTGTGTGAGTTTATTCCCATGTGACCACAAACGAGATGAAGATACACATTTCCTCGCCCCTTTGCCCTCTCTTTGTCTATATTCCCCCAGAGGTACTCACTCTTCTGTCTGCTATCACCTGCTCTTTAACTTGATATAACAGAGTCATAGGGTGTGTATTCCTGAATCTGAATTTTATGTTGTCTGTGAGATTCATCCATTTTGTTGTGCATACTTTATTTTTTTATTTCTACAGCTTATTTAGATAAGAGCAGGTGGAAGGGGCCAGCAATGATGAGGAAAATTAATCTTAGTTTTCACTGCTAATCTGAACTCAATCAACAAGTATTTGGTCACTGTCCTTTTAAGCCAAGTATCATTAGCAGGATAGTGTGAGGAATGTATAATAGGAAGGGTGAGTGCTTTCTGCTGTTTAGTCTCCCGATGTAAGATCCACTTTGGCACCAAGCTCAGTCAGCTCTGCCCCTACTTTTCCATTATCATTCCAATACCCTGGCTTCAGGATTTTCTGACCTCTTTCACTTATTCAAAAAGTATTAAGGATCTCCTCTATGCTAGGCACTATGGGAAAGGAGATTTTTAAAAGGCAGTTTATACGCGGAAGGAACTCTGTGTCAAGTAAAGGAGACAGACCTGTAAACAGATTAAGAGGAATGCAGCATGATTGTCAGTAGCGGTGCACTGAGTTGTAGTGGTGACAAAGGGAAGCGATCTGCTCTGCCATGTAGATCTGCCAGGCTCCAGAGAGGTGTTGCTTAAGCCGGGCCTGAAGGATGAATGCTCACCATGATCTATATTGTTAATTCCTGTCTTTGAATTCTCATAGCACTTTATCTGTACTTTTTTCATTAAAAAAACATCACTATTACTTTGAGTTATATTGTTTTATATCTCATTGCCTGTATTATGCCAGACAATAAGCTAAAGAGAACATGTTAAGAAAGTACAGTCATAATTTTATATAAAAAATATTCTTTACTCCTATAAAAGAGTTGAAATTTCACCTCAGACCTTGACGTCATTAATCCTTTGTTGCTTTTGCTTCTCTGTGCCCTGTTGGAGTGCCGAGGCTCAGCCCTCTGCCTCCTTTTCTCTAGCCCTTTCTTCCCTGATCACTTTATCTAATATTTTGAAACCACACACAAAGTTACCCTCTAGCATGTTGACCTGTTTTACTGTCTTTATAACATTGAATACTATCTGAAATTATTCAATTTACTTCCTCATTTTCTTGAGTATTATAAGTCTCTCTCAGTAGAACGTGAGTTCCAGAACTGGTTTGTTGCTGTACTGCCAGCACCTAAAATAGTGAGTGTTCAGGAACTATTCTTCACAAAGGGAGGGGATTACTTCCATTGTAACAATGAAGAAATTATAGGGAAGTGTGTAAGTACCTTTTCTCAGTTCTACCTCAGTTCTGCCTCCCAGTGTAGTTTCCTTTCCTTTGAGCTCTCCTTCCATATCAGGCACTCTGTTTCTCACCAGGGTTGCAAAGATAGGTCATCTTAGTTTCTGAGAATTTCCCAGACTAATTAAAAATTTGCAGTCCACTGGAGGGAAAGATCATTTCCTGGTTCATCTTTGTCCTCCACAATACACCACCTCAACATGGCACATGAGATAGTAGGTGTGCAATGAAAGCTGAATGACTAGGACAAGCAAAGGGGCGTAAGAATGAAGGGCCTCTTTTGATGCCAAAGAGAAAGAACTTGGACAGGTATTTCACATCTTAGGAAATAGAAACAGTAAAAACTGCAAATTTAGAACAATAATTAGGGACCATTAATTTAACCAACATAAAGTTTAGTAAGACATCTTTGTGTTGACCTGTGAAATTATAAATAGCTGTTGCCAGATTTTTCAAAAGCAGTTTGGCTGTATATAGGAAGTGCCATAAGGGTGTTTATACCCTTTAATCTAGCAAAACAATCTTCTGAATTTATTCAGCAAACTATTTTAAAAAAGAGAAACTATACTTACAAATGGACATAGCATTGTTATTTATACAAGCAAATGATAAAATTCTAGAATTCAATAGGCTCTCAAATTGCCATTAAAATAATAAATACTAAAACTAATAATATGAAATCCTTGTGAAATTGCTAGGTTTAAAAAAAGAAAGAAAAGTTGAATGTATATAATGGTTATAAAGTGAGTATTCAAGCTCTCCTTATAGAAAAGCAAAATGTCAGGATGCTAGATCCAGGCTGGCAGATTGTGGGAGGGATGCTGGCTGGCCTGACGGGATTGGCTCACTGACCTAGCACCCATGAGTGATTGGGAGAGAGGTCATGCAGGGGCAAAGGGACCAGGAGTGCATTCCAGGGACTAGGAAAGAGACAGAATCCAGATATAAGTCATGGGAAGATATGGTACCCAGATCATAACGATGGTATCCTAACCAGTCCCCCTGCATCCACCGTTTCAAGATGCTTTTGAGAAAAGAGAAGCATCTTTAATTTCAAGAAGTTACTTATAAATTAGGACTCCACAACAGAGAGCATTGCAGTGTTCTCTTTATCGCCTGGTTTCTGTCACCCTCTGGTATTTTATTTTCTTTTTTTTTCCTTTTTTTTAAAGATTTTTTATTTATTTATTTTTAGAAAGGGAAGGGAAGGAAGGGAGGGAGAGAGAGAGAGAGAGAGAGAGAGAGAGGGAGAGAAACATCAATGTGCAGTTGCTGGGGGTCATGGCCTGCAACCCAGGCATGTACCCTGACTGGGAATCGAACCTGCGGCACTTTGGTTCACAGCCCGCGCTCAATCCACTGAGCTATGCCAGCCAGGGCTTGGTATTTTATTTTCTAACTTGAAAGTTAAATAAACTCCATGTTTTTGGCTGGAACATCCCTTTGAGAATATGATGAGAGCTGTGGCCCTTTCCCCCTAAAAAATCTACCTATGCACATAAAAAGCTTTGCATACAATTCCAAGGGTCCCTTCTGCAAGCCTATCTATAAATCTCCCTAAGAGATCAATGACTCCAATTAAGGCTCCAGATAAGTTTATCCCCAGGGTGTCTTCCACTCCACGTTAGATCCCTGAAGGCCAAGCCTGCTTTTTTCACTCTGCACCTTGGCATGTAGTAGTGCCTCATGCAAAGTAGTTACGCAGTCTTGTTAAATGAATCAATGATGGATATGTTGTGTTCTCATTTGGTTTTATTTCAGGTCATAGTGATAGTACCTTTCTATGACTGCTATGAGCCCATGGTGAGAATGGCCGGAGGAACACCTGTTTTTATTTCTTTAAGATCTGTAAGTTCGCCAGTACCATTCACATGCTTTAAGAAATTTTGAAAATACCAATTACTTTGTTGCCAATAACATTTCTACTTTAATTACATTTTGGTATGTAATATATTATCTCTACTTTGACAGAAGTTAGTCAACAACTATGTTAAGAGGCGCACTTTTATTGCTTTATCACATGTTTGCCATGTGTGTCTGTTACATTAGCATCCACATGCATGTAGCACTGTCTTTCGTGTTCATGTGTCTCCCCCACTGACTCAGCACCACCAGGTAGAGCCCACTTCGGACTCACGTTTATAGCACTGCTCCCCAGTGCAGAGGGATGCTGGGTGCTCAGTAAATGCTTGTTGAGTTCTGAACAAAGTGACTTTTTTCTTGTTCTACTGTTACCTTTAGCAATGTAATAAAGTATAGTACCATTGTCTTTTTTTAAAAATCATATTAAAATAAGTAATACACTAAGGTGACTCCTAGAATTTCCTACTAGTCTTATAGTATGAGACATGTTAACCATGGTTATAGCTGTCCCCTTTGAAAGAATATAGGCACCTTAACAACTATTAGTATTGACAAAGTTCATTTTTTCTGTTTAACAGGTGTGAGCATGAGATTCAAGTCCTCTTGGGCTCTGAAGGCTTAGTTATTTTTGTTTATTTTTTGTTAGTCATTTATTCAGTTATATTTGGCACACTTTTCTCTAATTTTTTATTTATTAAGTTATTTATTCATAAAACAGCAAACATGATTTAATTTAATTAAATCACATCTTCATTCTTCATTCTTAGAAACGTATTGATGGGGAAAAAAGTGGTCCAGTTCTGACTGGACATTGGATCCCTGAAGAACTGGCCAGTAAATTTAATTCCAAAACCAAAGCTATTATACTAAATTCTCCACATAACCCCTTTGGCAAAGTAAGTGAGTTTTATAAACTCCTTACGTAGTTTTCTGATCCAGCATTTGCTCACACATTGAGTAATAATTGCTATGCTCTTGTTTGTTTAATATGTACAGGTGTACACCAAAGAGGAACTCCAAGTAATTGCCGACCTTTGCATCAAATATGACACGCTCTGCATCAGTGATGAGGTTTATGAATGGCTTGTGTATACTGGAAATAAGCATTTAAAAATAGGTACTGATCATTACATGGAGACACAAATGTGTTTGGGCGTGTGTGGGACAACTATTGGAAAGGATCCCAGAACAGCTTTAAAATAATCTTTGTAATGTGTACCTGTCTGTGTGAGTACTTAAAAATGAGATTTGAATAAATGGTGCTCAAGTGAGTTAATGAACTGAAGATTGAAGGCCTAATAGTATGAACTTAAGGGAGGAGCTTTTGTATCACACCATGAAGCTATGAAACCAGAGCAGTGGTGTTGTAGGTCGGAATCAGGCTCTTCCATGGGACGACGAGGAAAACACTCCAAGGATCCATGCACCAGAGGTGGTGACGTGGCAAGGTTTATTCAGGTGGGAACAGAAGCTGCCCCTGGGTTTCTAATTTCCCATCTCCCTTTGTCCCACCATGGAAAAGGTTCAATCTAGTCTTCAACTGGGGCAACACAAAAGCCAGTGTCCAGAGTTACAGATTCATGCTAAAGTTTAGCCCATTTTGAGCCCACACCATCTGCTGTGGGTCCCGACAGCTGCTGGACCCACATGGTCACGTGCTCCTGGATGAGAGAGAGCATGAACGTCCAGGGTGTGTATGGTACCCGTGGGCTAGAGAAAGAAAGAGAGGCTGAGAAAGCTTCTTGGTTCCCCTGGGATTATATTAGCTTGGGTTTGGGATGGACTAGGTAGGTAGTTTTTCAAAGGAACCAGTCAACTCCCCAAGATTTCACAAACATTTGATAAGTTTACACTCCTTCATTAGAATGATAGGCCTTTTTGGTCAAGCACCTCTACCTGCACCCCCACACCCCACCATTCGGTATCCAAGGGGGGGAGGGAGGAGTGTTAATCCCCTTGGCAGAGCAGTGCTGTAATCCCCTGGGGTGTGAAGCTGTAGCTTCCCGGTGAAGCAAACAGGCTTATGCTCCCCAGTTTATTAAACTCAATGTTTAATTTTCTTTGCCCCTCTTTCCTTTGTTACTAATTAGGTAAAACGAGCAGTAGCATTAGTACTGCCTGTATCATTAGCTTCCATCAAGAATCCAGCTATAACTTGGTCCACAAGACTCAGGAGCTTACTTGTTCTTGAACTGGACTTTCTCCTCAGAGAAAGTTGCCAAAATGTCAGGTCAACAGGAGGAGATTACAGGGACAGTAAACTGTTACTGCTTGGCCCTTGCCTAGGATTTTGCCACTATTTCCGGGCCATCTCACAAAGGCCATGTTGCCTTCCAGGGTAACCCACCTTTATATCAGCTACTTGCACTTGCCCCTCCTGTGCCTGCAGATGCTTTTCCCCCAGATGGACACAGAGCTCAGTCTTTCCCCTCCCTCGGGTCTTTATTCAGGTGTCCGTTTTTATGACCACAGTTACACCTCTCCTTCCAGCATTTGCTTTGTCCTTTTTCTGTTCTGTTTTGTTATTTTTTTTCCTTTGTAACAAATATAAGGATCTATATATTTTACATCTAACCTGCAAGAAGGAAGGGGTTTTAGTTTGTTTCGGTCTCCTCTGAATTCTCAGTCCCCAGAATAGGGTGTTGCACATGGTAGATGATCAAAAAGTAATTGTTGAATAAATGAACGGGAGGTGTGAAAAGGCTAAGGGAAGGATAACTAAAATCACTGTGGCAGGAACCAATACATTTAAAAAAAAATGAGTGCACCTACATGTACATGGCTGCTGCCAGTGTGATGATTATCCACACGGTGCATTGCAAATTGTTGTAGAGACACAGGGGAGACAGCAAGTATTTAAGGGGGCTCAACAAAGGAGTGGGCAAAAGACAGAATTAGCTAGGCAAAAAAAATAGGTAGAAAACTTCCATCAGACAATCTGATAGGTACTAAGGCAAAAAAAGCCTGAAAGAGCAAGGTAAACTTAGAAAAATAATTGGTTTATAGAGGTGTGTTGTAGTAGCTGATAGATGTGAAAGTGGAAAAGTAGGGTGATTCTGAAGGACATTGCATATGAAAATGGAGTATGACTTTGTTGAGGAGTGTTAAAGACAAAACAGCCTTTCCAAGTGAGAGGCAACAAGCTTTATAGAGGTCAGTATGGATAGCTACACTGGAATTCTTATTCAGGCGAAAGCCCAAATCATGTTCTGATTAAGACACAAAAGCAATGAGTATTTATGAGAAAGGGAAGGGGGATAATTACATCAATAGAAGAGAGGAATTTCTATTGGTGCATATAACATGCTAATTTTAAACAATGTTTTAATTTTCAGTCTAGTAGTCATTAGTCCAGCAGTCTTAATATCTGCTTTCTTGTTACCTTTGCAAACAGATTTTTAGGACACCAGTTTGCTTAGTCCCTGTCCAAAGGTTACTTTGCCCTGTTTTAACATCCAAAGATTTGAGGCAGAAGACATGCAAGGTAGTTTCTCTGGCTGGGCAGCTCTGGCTGCATTTACACGTGTTGTTTACAGGAGGTCAGTGGTGCTGAAGTTTATTTTAGTGGTAGAGCACCTCAAAGCCTTGATATTTGCATCATGAAATAGTGATAGCATTCCATCCTGAAACTAGAATAATTTTCCTGACAAAAATGAAGTAATTAGAAGTCAATATAAAAATCACAATTCTGTGCATAGTTTTTCTCAATAAAGAGCTATTGAAATAAACACATCTGAGTTTTCCAGATTTTGCCATTAGTAATCACTTACTAAATGCTCATTTGTTTCACCATTAAGAGCATTCATTATTAGATGAGTGGCAGCGTTTATCTTAAGTGCTTAAGAAAATTTTGTGGAGGATAATTTAGTTGATCTTTTTAAATTCTATACATTAATTTGATCACCAGAGAGAGTACCAGTGAGCATACTTTGAGAACTACTGCACAAGGTGTGACAACGCAGGAGAATTGATTACATGATTGGATATGTTTCATGAAGGTAAGAACCAGCTGCAGGTGAGGCCTCAAGCAAATCAGATGCCCCGGCAGTGGAGATGGTATTGCAAGCTGTTTACAAGGAGAAACTGAGGCACAGAGTACATCAGTAGAAGGCGGGAAGGGAAGAAGCCAGTATGACTCTGAGAGCTCCAGCCTGGCCCCTCAGCAGTGATGAGACCCTTACCCAGAGACAGAGATGTGGAGAGGAGGAGCAGATCTGTGGGGGAAGAGCTGAGCCAAGGAAATTCTGGCTGCTCGTGCTTCCGTCTTGTTAAATTTCACTGTCTATGAGACACAAAAGTCTGAAAACAGCTGAAATTACAGGCTTGATGGTCAAGAGGAAATTACAAGGGAGAACGTATAAAGAGAGTAGAAGGCCAGAGGTTTTCAAGGTGTGGTGCCTGAAGGCAGTAAACTGTGGTTCTGCGAAACACTGCATCAGAGTTCACCTCCACATGTCTTGTGGATGACGTGCCTCTGTCTTGGGTCGTTTGAACTATTCCCCAGTGGAAAATCAGGCCAATATGGACAATTAATTTTTTGGTGTTTTTTACATTAAATTTTATTAAATTACTATGTATTTTAAAATATTTTAAATTCATTTGCTTTATTTAAAATAGTTAAATATTTTTAATAAAATAACTTTAATTGATTGAATTATTCTGTTACATTTATTACATTCTTTTAGATTAAGCACAGAGGGAGAGGCATCTATCTATAATGAATAAATACGATTTTACATTCTACCTACAGCATATGTTCATGCCTGTGCAAAAATGACTCAGAGCTTTAGAGTTTTAGCTCAGTTTAGCAATATTCTTTCCAAAAGATTACTTTAATAATCTTGAAATTATGTTTAAGCCTGTATCATATTTAAACCTTGTTATATTGTAAGCCCTTCATGGTAACAGTGTAACTGATAATATCATTTACAAGAGATAGCAAGACCCATATTTTTAAGTCAGATTCTCTAGTTGTTATAACAGCCCATAAAGTTAAAACAAGAAAAAAAATGAATTCACTGTTTCATTATTTAGAGAATGCAATTTGGTTGCATGAAAACTTATTCTGTCAAATAGAGTGGCCTTTGTTACATGAAAGAAGATACAAAACAATCTGTAGAGTGCAATAGTAGTTCTTTAATATAATACAGTACAGCCCTTCCAGCCACACATCATGAAATTAGCATCATCTTCCTGTTGTCACAGAGGCAGTTTTCCCTGGTGTGGGGCTCTTCATCATGCCTCTAATCTCCTCCTGACTTTATCGAAGCCTAAGTCGCCTGTGAATAACTGTTACAGCTTGGATGGCTGATTTAAGGACCATCGTGGGTCACAAGTGAGGAGTGCAAAGACCAGTTGCCTTTCAGATGTACTGCAAGCTGAAGTTACTGATACTGGACATAGTTTTTAAGTAATCAGACCTGCCAGTATGTTTCTTTTACTCCAGGTCACTGTGGTCATAGCACTGTGATCACACATTCTGCCTGTCTGTTCACATCAACTTCTGTGGCTCCCCAAATCTCTGAGACTGAGAGGATATGAACATCTGGGTGCTTCAAAATTACTTCAGACCCTTTCTGCTGAAATAGTAGAATTTGTTCTATTGGATCAGATTCTTGACTCAAATAGTATCTCTAAGTTTCAGTAAGAAAGCTTTTAGTCAACAAAAGAAACCCCTCTTATAGAAGAGGTTTCTAATACACTGGTATTTGTATACTAATCCATTGATATTTGGAAAATTAGTATAAAATTCTTTGCAAGCTATTTATCTGCTCAGCTTACATCCACTTTTATTTTGCTCAAGTAACCATCAACAAATTGGTCTTCCTTAAAATATTAAATTAGATTTGATAGTTTGTGCCTGAAGCCTACATTTGACATGAGTACTTTAAATTTCTTTCATATGTAACTTACCATGAAAACATTTTAGGATTGTATTAGTTTCTCTGGGTAATTTTTATTTTCAAAGATGTTATTTCCAAATATTGTTCTTACTAATAGGCCTTTCTGATTTTGGATATGTATTATTACTTTGAAGGGAGTGATCCTCTGCATTATACAGAGTCAAACAGGAGAGTGGCACATGGGACGTGGTGTTCTTTTGGAATACTTTGGAAGTCGAGAAATGTCTCGGAATGTGAAGGGATATAATTATTTATACCAAATATTAGAATATTCCTTCTTCGAATGGACCCTCTGAATATTTTCCCCATTTATCTTTTCAAGTTTTTTTATACTCCACAAAGAATATAATTATAACTTTTTGGTTTATACAGTTTTTGTACCTTTACAAATATTGTCAGGTGCTTCATGATAGACTGAAATTATGTATACATTCATTTCGGAAATTTCTTTAGCTACCTTACATTTTAGTAAGCACTTGACTTGCTTATCAGAAGATTACTTTAAGCAAACAGCTTGCCCCCTCTCCCATTATTTATTTTTGTGTGTGCCAACACTTTTAGAATGATATGAGAGCATCTCTTTTATCTACTATACCTCCAAAAACCAAGTGAAAAACTTGTGGGATTGCATGTAAAGAACTTCACAACTGAATTATGTGAGGAATCCAAAAGGCAGTGTTATAGGTAGCATTCTCAGAGGATTACAGAGAAATAATGTACCACTGTCCAGCAAAAGATATAAACTCTTGCATTTTATACCTCCAAGACTTTGTTTTACACATTCCCTTTGCCCCAAATTTACCTTTCTTTCCCTTTCCCTGCCTGGCAGACATCTTCCAAGTCTTTGCTCGAGCATCCCACCTCTGCTACCTTCCATCCTTGCATAATCCTCCGAGCCAGTCGCTATTACAGTGTCTCACGGCATTGCAAGTGTTGCCTTACTCATCTCCCACCCCCACTAGACATTAAGCTCCATGAAGATATGAACTGTATCTTTCTCATCTTGGTTCCTTTAGGCTTAGCTTAGTCCCTGGTGCCTGATCATTACTAATAAATGTTTAACAAGTGGATGAATAAATGATTTTATTAAAGATACAAATCAACTTGAAAGCTTTCCCAGTTGTTGCTCATTATTCATGGACTCTATATTTGTGAATGCACCTACTCACCTACAGATAAAGTATATCTGTGACCCCAAAGTCACTGGAGTGCTTCTTTCTCAGACATCTGCGGAGGGGTGAAAAATTTGTTACCCGATATGCATGTTCCCCATTGGGGTCAACAGGGCAACCCTCTGCCTTCTTGCTTTAGCTCGTACTATAAGTGAGTGTCCTTCTAATGGTGACTTTGCTGCTTAGAGTGTCTTCTATGTGTGGGGCTGAAGTACTGTCTAATGTTTCTAAGTGCAGGAAGGCTGCTGTGCATTACAGAGGAAATACTTGGCATTAGATAAGCTCCTCTGAGGCACAGGTTCTAGTGCTCTTGGCCATGGGGATCCTAGGGGCTGACATCTAAAAGGTGTGGAGCTTCTTTCAGGGTGAAAAAAAGTTCTAAAGTTGATTATGGTGATGGTTGCCCAACTCCGTGGGTATGCTAAAAACATTGCTTTGCACACTTTAAATGAGTGAATTATATGATGGGGGATTTATATCTCAATAAAGTTGTTAGCAGAACATATATATGCACACACATGCCCAGGCACACACAGATTGCTAGGCCCCACCTCCTGAGTTCTTGACTCAGTAGGTCTGTGATACAGTCCAAGAATTTGCCTTTCTTATAAGTTCCCCAGTGTACTGACATTGCTGGTGTAGGCCAAGACAGAGGTGAACTAAATGGTAGCCAGAATCACAACGAAAATATGCCACAGAATGCTTGCCTTGACCACACAGCCACTGCCAGCAGAGTGCTGGGTGCCACAGCCTGTGTGGCCGCCACACTGAACCAGCCCGGAACACTGCCTACTGGCACCTCTGCCACTCCCGCCCCTGGAAATCATGTTGCTACTTAAAATTATTCAATACATTACCTATTATTTTGGGACAATATTACAGTGTTTACAAACATTGCAGCATTTTCAACTATGCTTGAGTTCAAGTAGCATTATCTTTTTAAAAACCTATTGAAGCCCTGCCTGTTGTGGCTCAATGGATTGAGTGCCAGCCTGTGGTCTCCAGTTCCATCCCACTCAGGGCATGTGCCTGGGTTGCAGGTGTGCAAGAAGCAAATGATTGATGTTTCTCTCCCCCTCTTTGTCCTTCCCATCTCTCTAAAAATAAATAAATCAAATTTTTTTTAAAAACCTATTGAAATAACTTTACTGATCACACTATGATACATTTGTTTTTAGATTGTACCAAATGTAGATTGATTGAAAGCAATTATTTAAATTTTTTTGTGTCTGTTCAGCCACTTTTCCAGGTATGTGGGAGAGAACAATAACCATAGGAAGTGCTGGGAAGACTTTCAGTGTGACTGGCTGGAAGGTAAGACAAAGAATTTAATTGCTTAAAAACAAGCATGTACAACTTACTTCTTATAATAAGAATTTAATTGCTTAAAAACAAGTGTGTAACTTCCTTGTAGAGTTTTTGTATATTAAATGCACATATAGTTCATTTACACAGGTGTTTATACTTGCTGATCTTTTGCTTATTATTTACTCGTTCCACTTTCACTGCCTTTATTTTCTCTGAGAATTAATCATTTCTTTAAAAGTAAGAAAACTAGGTAATTTTTCATTTTACAAGTAACCAACTAATGACACTTTTTCTTGACAAAGAATGTTCAGATTGCTGCCCATTAGTATAAGAGGAGAACAAATAATGAAAGCAGTATTTTGGCACTTATACTATGTGCGGGGTTTAGTGCTGAACCTGTACTGGTTCCCTCCATCCTCATAACCACACTAGGAGGTGGCACAATCTGTTACCTCCATCGTCCATACAGTAAAACCAAAGTACAGAGATCTTAGGGAACCTGCCTCAGGTCCCACTGCTAATACGTTCAAGGCAGGGGACACAGGCTGGCGTGTAAGTCCCTGCCCTGAACCACTGAGCTCTGACCCACGATTTATCAGGTTGAAACTCAATTATCTTCAAATCTTGCCTTCTAACCATGACTGAGAAGCAGGGATTATCAAAAATGAGGCCTGCAGAGCCATAATGGAAGATCCCTCAGGCCCTCATTCAGAGTTACTTTCATCTGTATGTAATTCAAACAAGCTTTGGTGCCGTTTCTCACAGCTTCAGAGCATCACAAGCAGTGAACTAACAGGGAAGAAGATAATGATTGCAGGTACCTTCTGAGAGCAGAGTTTAGTGACTCCAATTGGCAACTTTTACACAAAAAGAAGTGTTGAAATAATTCTAAAACTGAACTCCCTTCATAATATGAACACTTTAGAATTGAATATATTTAATAATTGCATTAAGCTTACATACTCTAACAGATTTGGTACATACGATTAGATTGATATTTGCTTTTATCTTTTTGTTCTTCAGCTTGGCTGGTCCATTGGTCCTAATCACTTAATAAAACACTTACAGACAGTTCAGCAAAACAGCATTTATACCTGTGCAACTCCTTTACAGGTAGGTGTTACAGTAACTTGGGGGTTGAAGCGTGGTCTTTGGTGAAGGTGTTATATTTCTGTTGTGTGTTTGAGTTGCTTGGTTCTCTCCTTCATGCCCTCACTGAGTAGAGCTTCTAGTATAATTTGGGAATTTAGGAGCAGACACATAGTCATTGCTATTAAGAATAGTTTGGTTTTTTTTTAATATTAATACATCAAGTCTTAACTTCGAACACTCCTCCTTTTCTGGTGGGTTTAAAAAGCACTATAAAGTCTCCAGAGGACAGTGGCAGCACCAAGCCAAATGAGAGATGTGCGTGTGCTGTGAAGCAGCACTCTCTCCTGGGAAGTTGCTCTGTAACTATTATCTGCATGTGTAAGAAGCCCTGTGTGCACAGCCATTTACTGCAGGAGAGAGGGGAAAGTTATTGTCCATCTGCAGGCAGTTGGTTTAAGTAAACCATGATCTATCTATCTAAACATTTAAATAGTGTAGGACTGTATTAGCATCCTATTTCTCTGTAACACATTACCACAAACTTAATGGCTTATAGCAACACAAATTTTGTATCTTACAGTTCAGGGGGTCAGCAGCTGAAATGCGTTTGTCAGGGCTAAAAGCAGGGTGCCAGCATGGCCACGTCCCTTCTGGAGGCTCTAAGGCAGGGTCCGGTCCTTGTCTTTCCCAGCTTCCAGGGGCTGCCTGCATCCTTGGTGCTCGGTCACCTCACTCCAGCCTCTGCTTGCGTCAGCAACCCCCCCCCCCCCCGCCGCCCCCTGCTTTCCCTTAGAAGAACCCTTGTCATTGCATTAGAGCCCAGATATTCCAAAATGATCTCTCCATCTCAAGATCCTTACCTTAAACACTATTTACACAGATCACTTTACCAGACGAGGTAACGTATCAGCAGGTTCTGGGTATTAAGACATGGACATCTTTGGGGGCCATTATTCTGACACCGTGGTTGTTTAAAAATTAACAGTAGAGAAAGGGGAATAGTGAGGAAGCTGTATAATTACTGATATGAAAACATTTCCAGAATATAATATAAAGTACAAAAGCAAGATACAGAGCAGTGTATGTTTATGCTACATTCTGTATAAGAAAGGGGAAAACTATTTGCTTAAATGTTCTTAAAGGATCTCTGGAAGGATCCAAAATGAAACTAGTAAAAGTGGCTATTTGTAGGAGTAAGGGGAACAGGTGAAATTAATGGATAGGGACAGGGGTGGGTGAAAGAAATTTTAATGTATATTTTTCTATATTTCTCTTTTTAAAAAATATTTATAAAGTGCCATCACTCTATGAATAATCAGAACACTGAAAAAAAATTTATTTTTTCTGGAAAGCAGTTAAAAGGCCAAAGAATGAAATATGCAGTCACTCTAAAGTAATACCATGATAAAGGCTAGTTGTGACATTTGCTTTTATTATATAGTATTAAACTCATTTTATCCTTTGAAAATAAATCCATTCTTTTAATCAACCAATATTCACTGAGTATGGAAGACAAGCAGATAAAGATTCCTGCCCTCATGGACCTTATAGCACAATGGAGAGGCATAGATAATAAATAAATATTTTAATAATATATTTCAGATGTTGATGGATGCAATGGAGAAAAAGAAGGGAAGAGGAAAGATATGAAGTGCTAAGGTGGAAATATACAACACTAAGTATAAGTGCAGAGGCCCTGGGGTGGGCAGTCTGGTTGTGCACATCAGTGAAATGAAAAGCACCGAGGCTGAAACAGCATGATCAGGGGAGAAGAGCAGGAGGAAGTAAGTCAGAGAGGCAGCTGGGGGCCAGGTGAAGAAGGGGTGTGTTCGTCAGGGTGAAGACTGAGTGAGATAGGTAGCCACTGGAGAGTTTAGAGCACAGGAGTGACATGATCTAACTTGTGTTATCAAGGGCACTCTGGCTGCTTGGCTGAGTTAGAAGAATGCTGACACGATGAAGGAGAGAGATAGTGATGGACTGAACCAGTGTGGGGATGGTAGAAGTGGTGAAAAGTGACTGTGTTCTGAATATTTTTTGAAGGCAGATGCTGATGGATTACATGTGGGTTATGAGAAAAAGAGAAGAGCCCAGAATAATTCTACAGTGAGGACATATGTTTATCTCCTGGGCTTTGAGTTTTCTAGGGTAGGATCTCCTGCTGTAGGGAATAAATGTTACTGAGGAAAAGAAAGATTCGGCTAAGAATCTGGAACACCTTTTTGAGAACCACCTTACTGTCCATTCCAGCTAAGTGGCCTGTTTATTTTCCATTCCTTCAAAAAACCATGTTTGGAAACTGGCCCAAGTTTTCAGCGGAACCACAGATTCCTAGGCTGAAGCAACCTATGCTTATTTATCCAAGGTTTTTTTAGTACTGGGGAATCACTACCATTAATCCTTTTTTTCTGCTGAATTCTTTTGGCATGCAGCCTTCTCCGATTTAGCCCTTCCCTGTCTCTCAGTGTCGTCTTTTGCCAGGCTCTCTCTCCTGCTGCCTACCCGCAGCCACGCTAGACTTCTCTCATTCTTCCAGAAAAGCAAATGATACCCTATTTTGTTCGTGCAATTGTTTCCTGTCTCATCTCTCCCCCTGCCCTCACCAAGACACGCTAATCAGAGGCTTCGTGAAGGCAAAGACCACATTTATCTTGTTTATCATTGTAGCGCTAGCATTTATCACAGTGCCGGTTTTAACATACTCAGTTCATTTACTAAGTAATTGAATGTATCCTCTACTTCTTGATATCTCTTGATTGTGATTAATTTCCTTAAAATTTGGCCACTTTGCTCTGCCTTTCTATCTCTTAACTATCCCAAGTTCTTGGTTAGTTGCTTGGATCTCCTAGTTTGCTCTGAGAACCAGTATTTCTAAGTTGTGCCAGTTCACACGTGCCCACCAAGCTTCCCCATTCCTGCTTGGATAAGTGCGTGTTCTTTTTGTGCGCCCTCATTTAGACATGTGACTTGTTCCTGACCTGTTACCCTCTCAGGCACCTGCCTAATAGCATTGGCTTTTCTCTGGGCCCAACTTCACCCTTACGTTTTCTGACTTTCCTGAAGAAAGGTAGAGAAGTCACTGGCATGCCCCAGAAACCCATTTCTAATACCTGTGGCACTTAGACCCTCTCCCTGGAGTACAAATGATTAGAACAGGGATTTGCACACCTGTGAGGAATGACAGAGAGGGTCAGCTTTCATTTCCATGGCATCCTCTAAGGTAAGGGGGAAAGGCTGGTCAGGTCCTCATTTCTCTCCTCATCTTTTAGACTTAGGTGTAACAGTCATTCTGCAGCTTACCTCAGAACAGAATAACATGATCTCTTCATTTCCAAGTGTGTCATCTTCACACAATACCGCTTTTTCAGTTTGAGTTTCCATGGCTTATTCTCAGTTCTTCACATTGCATTTAATCATTGACTTGTAACTGATTCCTCCATTAATCTATAGAGCTTAGCATAGGTTCACAGGAATTCAGCTGTAATTCCCTGAATGACTGTTTTGCCAATAATATTGTTACTCAGTATTTATTTATTATACCAATAAACTCCATAATAAATAACATTTCCATATTTCCTTTTCACATTTTTTAATCTTAAAATACAGGAAGCCTTGGCTCGAGCATTTTGGATTGATATCAAGCGCTTGAATGACCCAGAGTGTTACTTTAATTCGTTGTCAAAGGAGTTAGAAGTAAAAAGAGATCGGATGGTACATTTACTTGAAAGCGTTGGCCTGAAACCCATAGTTCCTGATGGGGGCTACTTCATCATTGCTGATGTGTCTTTGCTAGGTTTGTAAAGGCTTTTATTATTACAAATACATGGAAACTTAGTGTGTGAAGTTCTATCAGAATTATGGAGAAAAATTGGTGTCGAAGCCATATCAGCATTTTATCTATGAAAAAATGGATTTTCATAATGTCAGTGTTTTCCTACAGTCATCTGTACTTTCAAGTCCTTGACCTGAATTGTGAGTGCCGTTACACAGTTGTTTTAGGTGTTCTACTAAACATTGACTTTGCTGTTATCTTGTTCTAATGTGTGACTTAATACACAGGCTCATGAAATAATATAGGTGCCCTATGTCCCTTTGAGTAAAATTTTAGTTTTCTTTTTATTTGAGAAAAATAAGATTTCTAGACTGTTGATGCCATCAGGGAACATTTGCCACTTTAGAATATATTTGAAATGAACTGAAGAAGGAAAATCATATTTATTGAGGGTCTACTACATGCCTATCACTTTCAAATAGCCTTTTGAAGAAGATGCCATTAGCTCTACTTTTAAAAACACGAACACTTAGAAAGTTTTAAACAACTGGCCTGAAGTCACACAACTAGATTCCAAATGATTTTGTTTCCAAAAAGCGACAGTCCGGTATATTGCCCAAAGTTGTTGTATGTGTCCTGACATGCCATGCAAATGTAAAGTTAGAAAGATGCTAACATTTTATATGTAACTTATTTTTCTTCAAAAAAGTATAATGTTAGTAATAGTCAATTTAAAAGCATAATTTATTCAGACAGAAATTATAGCCATTCTAAATACTTTTAAATGTTGTAAGATTTTTTATTTCAATGAAACTATATGCCACTGAACTTGAAAGCCTTTTGTCTGTACCAAATTCTATAAAGCTGGAAAATCTTGATTTTATAATAAAACAATGATTATCATTATTTCTTCATTTGTTGGGAGAGAAGCAGAGGCCATGTTGACCAGAGATTCTTGCTGTCTTATTGCCAGAGAGCTGTATTTGTCAGGCTCCTAAGCTTCATTTTTATTTAAAACCCCTTACAGTGTTGTATACTCTGAGGCTTGGAAATTGGTTTTTTTTCTATTGGGTCTAAATGTTCAGCTTATTTCATGAAATGATAAAAAGTAATAGCACAGTTTTCATTGCTTGTATTTTTGCTTTTAAATTGAAAATCCAAAAGATTTTCAACACAAATTACTTTGTTTGAAAGAAATTGACTTACACTTTATCTGCTTTCCAAAAGAATTTGAGCTAACTCACATTAAAAGTCTTTTATGCAATAATATATAAACAGAAATGTTTATAATAGAAAATCATTATTACATAGGATGGGAGGAAGCAAATATTTCAGTCACATAGGTTTATTTAGTATTGTAATTAGCATTTACTTGGCAAAGGCAAAGAGAAAACTAGAATTAGTTACATAATTGTTGAATAAAAGGAAGCTGAACAGCTTTTTAAATAAGAATAATTCTTCCCCGGAGCCCAAATTTTCCAGATAGTAAATTCTAAAAGGAATTCATCCCATTGTGACATTAAACATCAAAAGGACAATGATGCAACTTTTGCTTGGATTATTCCATTAGGCTCTTAAATAGTTTCCCATTTTATCTTTAGTCAATCTATTCTCAAACAGTACTAGTTTAGGTCTTAGGTCTTGAAATAGTGTGGTTGTACTAAGAGCAGAAAGGATTTGGGTTAGAAACGTTTTGTATTGATGGAAAAAAGAGAATTCCATTTTTATCATCCCCCTTCACCTGTGGGAGAAAATGTAATGTCTCTAAGACTCTTCTATGTATGAAGACAAGTTCATTTCATTTTACTTTTTCATCTGTTCAGACTAATTTGAATGTAAAAGTTCTTCCATGTACTAGAGGTTGGTCCCACCATTTACTAAAAACAAAAGGAAGCAACAAACTCATTTGATGGTAGCTTGAAAATAAAAATAAATATAAAGTTAATGAACATAGTATATAGTTACTTCCCTTTAAAATGGATAGCAGTGGCTAACTGATTAATATTTTTGAGCACTTATGATATAGTTGATATTATGCTGAGGGCTTTATGAATGTTACATTCTCGCTAAAGCCCTATGAGATATAATGGTGTCATTACATCCTCATTGGCAGGTGAGAAAGATGAAATAGAGAATCAACTAATAAATAGCAGAGCTGGGCTCTGAGCCCAGAGATCCATGTTCTAACGAGGGAGCTTGTCTTTGTTCTGCTAGACTCAGCAACTTCCCAGGCCAGTGAGTTTTATCCTAGAACTAAAAAAGGAGACGTTTGATTAGAAGACAAAATAACAAATAAAGAGAAGACAAAATAACAAATAATTACAGTTGTTTTAGTGAGATAATAAGGTCCAAAATTATGGAGGAGATAGTGGGAATACAGCGGCCAATTTTTATTTTCATAGGTTACTTAAATACCCTAATGCTATTATAATATGTTTCAAACTTAAACCTTTAATAAATGTTTTATTTAGTTTCTTTGAGGATCTCTGACTCAAGTATTCAAAAGAAATAGTTTTGAACTTTCTTATAACTATAAAATCTTTAGACTTGTATTTATTCTCTTCTTCCCTTTTAAGGACCATAGCAATAAATTCACCTTTTCTAAGCTTTATAAGAATAAATGAGTAGTACAGCCAGTGTCAATTACAGTTGGTTAAAATCCTCTTTTTATAACTCTATTGCAATAGGTAATCACTCCTTTCTCTGGGTTACCTTGGAATACACTACTTTTGTGAACTGGTCACAAGGAGTCTTCACAAAATACATAGTCAGACTCTAACTTTTCAAAGTGATCATTTTCGTTAGAGCCAAACCTGAATTAAATACACATACATATACATAATGTGGAATAACTTGAAATAGTAATTTAACTTCGTCATCTATAAAGTGAAGATTATAGCTTCCTCTTAGAATTGTGGGACAAATAAATGAGTGAATCATGTAACATGCTTAGCATGTATAAGTGCTCAATAAATGGTAGCATACTATTAGCATTATCATATGGAATTCTTACATTCTTAAAGCACAAGGGAGAATGGAAATAAAAATCATTAAATAAATACATAGTAAGATTTTTTTTAAATATAGGTAAAACTTTCTTCAAGGTTTTTACACCAATAATTTGAAGAGACCCAGTAAACAAATAACTATCTAAATTTTCTTTAAGCAAAAATTTCAGTGATTACAGTAACCATCAATCTTAGTAGCTTTGGGCCATGCAAAAAGATCTCAGAGTACAAATCCATTAAAGTTGAGACAATATGAAATTTAGGTTGCTGAAGCTGAATGCCAGAGAAATATCTAGTCCAGACCTTAAAGCAAGATTGGAGTAAGAGACAAAAATAGGAATATTTATTTGAAGATTTTCTTCAAATTTAACATTTTTATTTTATTTTTTAAGATTGTATTTATTTATTTATTTTTAGAGAGGGAAGGGAGGGAGAAAGAGAGAGAGAGAGAAACATCAATGTGCAGTTGCTGGGGGTCATGGCCTGCAACCCAGGCATGTTCCCTGGCTGGGAATCGAACCTGCGACACTTTGGTTCGCAGCCTGCGCTCAATCCACTGAGCTACGCCAGCCAGAGCCCAAATTTAATATTTTTAAAAGCATAATAGATGGAAGGAAGAGGTAAACAATAAGGATATCATTTGGAAGATCTACACAGACACTTTTCCTTTTATAAATAAAGAATAATATTAATTCATTCAACAAACAGGCTTTTTATTATTTATGTGCTAGACACTGACCTGGGAGTTGAGGGTGATAGACAGTAATGCAGACACTTCGCCTTGTGGATGGCTTTTTGGAGATATGGGTGTTACTAATGAACACTCTTTAGACGTCCTTTCCTTAATAATGATCATAGAGTCTTTTGTTATTTGTAGATGGAGAGGGCACACTCTTCTTTCCTTCCCCTTTCCTGCTCTCTTCCAGTGCTAAGAGGTGTGCAAGTTCATCTGTAATACCTTGCTTCCCACCCCTGCCATGTGCAATATGAGATGCCAGCAGATTTTTTTAATATCTTCTAAGGAAACTTTGAATTTTGACAGATTTAAATGAAATACATATTGCCTCAGATATAATACAGAGGTTATCTAATTCTCATTGTTTTAGATGCAGATCTCTCTGATATGAAGAACAGCAATGAACCTTATGACTATAAATTTGTGAAATGGATGACTAAAAATAAGGTAATGTTTATTGGCCCTTACAACATTGTGCTGTATTTTATAGTTAATTTATGAAGGAAAGCTGCTGACATGCTTTGGACAATGTTAACTTTTTTTGTTATATGATAGTCCATTTAGCTATTTGGAGGATTTTAACATAATTTTTTAGGGCAGGAGAATTGTGAATACTTAGAAGTATCAATTTTTTCTAATGTTTATGGTCCTAAAATTAGTATTTGAAGTGTAAGTACTTTTCTTATTTTACCTTTCTACTTACTTCTTAGAAACTCTCAGCCATCCCAGTTTCAGCGTTCTGTAACAAAGAGACCAAATTACAGTTCGAGAAGTTTGTGCGATTTTGCTTCATTAAAGTAAGTTTTATGTTCTACTAAAAAACACACTTATAATGTTCTTCCTCCTTATTTATAAATCACCATTTTTTCTGTCGCTAGACATGATGTGCTTATAAGCAGTTTTTAAATTTTGTCTTGCTGCCGTGATATTAACTGCCTACCAGAACAAATGTTGAGTTTACACTGTAATCAGACCTGTTACCATGTAACAATACAATCTCAGGCATGCAATAAAAAATTACTAGACATGTGAAGATACAGGAAATTGTGACCTGCCCTGGCTGGGTGGCTCAATTGGTTGGAGCATTGTCCTGTACATCAGAAAGGTTGTTGTTTTGATCCCTGGTCAAGATGTGTATGATAGGCAATCAGTGTTTCTCTCTCTCACTCTCTCTCTCACCCTCTCAAATCAATTTTAAAAATATCCTCAGGTGGGTAAGGATTGAAAAAAGAAATTGTGACCTTTATTGTAAGAAAAAAGCAGTCAGTAGGAACAGATCTCATATGACTCAGAAGTAGAAATTAGCAGAAAAGGACTTTGAAGCAGATATTATAAATAGGTTCAAGCAGTTAAAGGAAAATATGGTCATAGTGAATGAGCAGATTAAAACTATTTTAAAAAATCAGGTGGAAATTTGAGAGCTGAAAGGTGATAACTGATGTGAAATGTATGTGGTTTAACACACAGAGCACTTGGGATGATGGGGAAGAAGGGTCCACTTGAATATAGAAATTATCCAATCTGAAGGACAGAGGGAAAATTGTTTTTAAAAACTAAATAGAGCCTCAGATCTACGAGGCAATATCAAGTGACAATGTACATGTAATTGGAGTCCAAGAAAAAGAAGAGAAAATGTAGCAGAAAATATCTTTTAAGAAATAATGGACAAAATTTCCCCAGATTTGGTATAAAGCAACTTATAGATCTGAAAGTTTAGTGAACCATAACAGGATTTTTTAAAAAAACCCACACCAAGACACACCATGATCAAACTGCTGAAAACCAAATATAATGATGAGATTTTGAAAGCAGCTGAAGAATAGCTATACTTCACATGTACAAGAGCAGATATGAGTGTTGGCTAACTTTTTATTGGAAACAACAGAGACTAGAATACAATGAAATGGCATCTTCAAAATGGCACAATAAAAAAATAGACCAGCCCAGAATTCTATATCTAGGAAAGTATTCATTAAAACTGAAAATGAAGGTGGGGAGGGCTGGGCGGGTGGGCTGGGATAGGAGTAAAAGATAGAAAATTGTACAATAGAAACTTAAACAATAATTAAAATAAAAATTTTTTAAAAACTGAAAATGATATATACACCACTGATATAAGAAGTTAAAAGAATTCATCATCAGATCTGTCCAAAAATCTGAATGTATTATTGCCATTTTTAGTGTGATTGCTCCTGAGACAATCATTCTGATGTCAAGGCACTCTCTACACCAACACATTCACCTGTAAAGCTAGTCAGGTTGATGTAAACATTGTTTCCAACTTTTAGAAACAACCTATGGACTATGAAGGACTAATCCATAATAGAATATAAATGTTAACAACCTAACAGTGTCAACATTTCATTGACTAAAGTGTTGTCAACTAAAGAAAGGGTAAGGCTGTTAAAATTCTCATCTTACAGTGGATCTAGAAATAAAGGTATATTATTTGAATACAAATAGAACTAATAGGAGGAAAAATAACATTAGACTTCCAGTTTTAAAATGAAAAACACAGCTCTTCTTTTCTCTCTTCATGGAAATTATTTTTATTTTCTTTAAGATTTTATTTATTTATTTTTAGAGAGGGGGTAAAGAGGGAGGAAGAGAGGGAGAGAAATATCAGTGTGTGTTTGCCTCCCATGTACCCTCTCCTGGGGACCTGGCCCGAAACCCAGGCATGTGCCCTGACTGAGAATCAAACCAGCGATCCTTTGGTTCACTGGCTGGCACTCAGTCCACTGAGCCATACCAGCCAGGGCATGGAAATTATTTTTAAAAAACAACTAGAACGATGCAAAACAACTTCACAAATTCCTCATTACGATAAAGAGTTGCCAAAAACAGTGAAGGTAGTGGTAGAAAGAAGACACCTAGAAAGACTCCTGCTTCTACATCTTCAAATTACCGACAGAGCCATCAGGTTGCATAGTCATTGCTCAGAACAGTAGGAACAGCAAGTGTGCTGGCAGTGAGAACTTCTGCAGACCCTCGGGCATCGTGGAAGAGGCGGGGTGGAGACGCACAGGCATGCCATCTAGGACCTGTGTGAGGCAAGGTGAAAACGAGGTTCTGATTGGGCTATAAATTTGCTTATTCATCCTTGTCATTTTTGCTAAAAGCTGTTTTGAGACAATGTGGAAGAGCTAACATTAAATTGGAGGTAGCCAATTAACTTAGTTGAGAAGAATTACAGCCTAAAAGAACTCTACATCAATCATGTTACATTTCATGTGTGTGTAGGAGAATTTCTGCTCTCTTCTAGTGCTAGTCTGGCTCCTCCAGAGATCTGAAAAGTTCAGGGAAGATAGAGTAAGGTAATATAAGAAAATGAAATGGTAGCTGTCTGAGCTCAGATAGAAAATTCAAGGGAAGAAAATAAAGCTATTGGTAATTTATACTGAGATTGGAAACAGCCCAAAGAACACCAAATACTTCTGTAAGCACATTAAGGATAGAAAAGAGTGAGCAAAAAAGAAGTGAAAAAGAACAAAGAATTTTAAAATATTTGAAAAAATTATATGTGGAAGACAAATTAAATACATAGTCACTGAAAAAAAGCAGAACAAATGGAACCAGGAAAGAATTTTATAGCTTTGTCTTGAGAATGTTGGTTTCAAAAAACAAACAAATCTAAAAATTGGAAAGGAATGCCTTAGCTGAGGAAAAACTGTCACAGAACAATGAACACTGAGATATACCTTGTTTAATATATTAGACTTTAGAGGTAACGAAATAATTCTTTGGCATCTGGACAAAAAGGTCAAGGCCTCCACGGGGCAGGATCCGAGCACCCGTATGGACGCACCTCCTTTACACCAACGTTTAACATCAGAGACAGTGGGGCAGCGCTGAGAAGTCCCTACAGAAAGTTGACACAAGTGGAAAGACTAAAAGTGAAAGGATGGCAAAACATGCCAAGAAAATGGAAATTTAAAAAACAGACTGTTAAGTTCTATATGACACTTTCACAGATTGAGAATGGGAGTATAATGTGTACTCTTTGATTTGATTCTGTATTTATATATTAATTTGATTGTTTTCCTTATGGAGGTCTGCCTTTGCTTTTGTACTTTGGGAGTTCTTTTTACTTGAGATCACATATTGAGAGTAGGACGGACTTAGAGGGTATCATGTTAAGTGAAATAAGTCAGTCAGAGAAATACAAATACCATATGACTTTACTTATAGGTGGAATCTAAAGAACAAAGTATACAAACAAAACAGAAAGAGATTCATAGATATAGAGAACAGAGGGATTGTTGCCAGAGGGGAGGGTGGTTTGGGGACTGGGTGAAAAAGGCAAAGAGATCAAGAAGTACAGATTGGTGGTTACAAAGTACTCATGGGGGTGTACAGTACAGCACAGGAAATACATCAATAATGCTGTAACAACTATGTTTGCTGCCAGGTGGGTACTGCAATATCAAGGGGTATACTTTGTATAAGATTGTCCAACCACTGTGCTGTACACCTTAAACTAATACAAAATAATATTGAATGTAAACTGCAGGTAAAATTTTTTAATGTTTTTAACCTATAAAAAAAGTTGTAGATTTCTTTGATATCAGGATAGTAGCAATAAAGTGCCCAGAACTGGAAGCCGGCATCATAAAACAGTATGAGGTAATGACTGGCATTGCACTTCCCTAGTTCCTTTACTATTGAACTCTCGTGAGGTTCATGCACTTTTCCAGCCAGAGGGCAATGGGGTATAGCATTACAATCATTGGTTTGTTTGATTTGCTATTGGGCTCCTTAAAGAGCTTGGGACCTGTGTACCCGGCTACCAAAGTGAGGGCAGGCACTGCAGACATTGTTTCCCAGGCTTTGTCAGTGCTCCTGCCGGGGTTATGGCTTAATATGGACGAGGCTTCCAGTGACTCAGTTTTCTGGGAAGGTGTGCCCCCTAAAGAATGCTCTGGGGCTCTGCCACACACGGAGGCCAAGGTCAGGCTGGACCCAGTTCAAGGTACCATGAGTTGAGGAGCACTTGGTTCCCAAATCACCACGTGACTTCCTGATTAACGGACTATGGTATACTTTTTATATTTAAGTTTTTACTTCATCTTGATTTATTTTGATATGTAACAATGATTATTTCATTTATTTACAGAAAGACAGTACACTGGATGCTGCTGAAGAAATCATCAAGGCATGGAGTAGACAGACGTCTTGATAAATGCAAACTTCTTTAATGTTTCTGTTAAATGACCTAGTATGGTATTGGTATTGGTACTGCCACTCACTGAATTGTGCAAAACAAATATTTCAGTACAAATGAAATTTAAAGAAATATTTCCATTGATTTTCCGAATAGGTTGATCCCTAACAATATTCTGGAGATTTGGGTTTTTTTTCTATCTTAATAGAGTTCTCTATTATAGAGATCAGTCGAACTCTATCTTAATAGAGTTCAACTCTATTAGAGTTGAGTCAAACTCTATCTTAATAGAGTTCAACTGAACTAGTATTTTATGAGAATCAATATAGCATTTGGATAAGAACTATGAGATGCTGGTTTATGCCTAACCTCTCTGTGCTTCAGTTTCCTCATCGTAAAAGGGGAATAAAAAATAGCACCTACTTTATATGAAGTCTGTGAGTTGTGTGTAAGAATGAAATGGACTGAATGATGGAAAGCCTGGCAAACATACCCTCAACTAATACTAGCCAATGTTACTTCTTTACCACCTGTAAAAACTCTTCACCAGTTACATCCCCCTGACTCCATATTTTGCTTTATCTACCCATTCATAGTTCCTTCCTTTATTTACTAATGACTAATTTGGCTCACAGTTTGGCCTCTATGCCAAGTACTGCCATTACCTGGGATGGCTCCAAGGTCCACGCGGATTGGTCCACCTAGGTCCACCTAGGCTTTTGGTACTTTGAACTCCTCATCTCTGGTGACAGTCACCTCCACCTCAGCCACCCACTGCCTTGGCTACACCCTGAACCTTGCATCATCCTAGGCTGTTCCACCGTGGCAATAATAAATTAATCATCTCACACTGTAACCTCCTATCTACAATATCTTTGCTCAATCTATGTACCTCTGTCTCCTTCCCTCCTCTCAAAACATCACTTCTTTAAACTCAATAGACCAGTAATTTCAAATCTATTATTTCTCAAAAAATGGTCTATGGCCCTCTTATGTCATAATCAACTAGGATCCTTGTTGAAAATATATTCTTGTCTTCACCTGAGACCTACTTAATAATTATTTCAGAATCTGGCCCTTTCCAGGTGATTTTCATATCTACTAAACTTTGATAACCACTGCTGTAATCTGTAGAATGCTCTATTTTATTCCTTTCAGTCCCCTTGTATCTTTACTCCCTTTGTCACCAGCTTCCACGTTACCATCTACCATTTGGGCTGCTGAGAGCCCTGCTATAGCAGAAGGCACACCTGGGCAAGTTCCGACAACCATGAACGTACACCATTGATTTGACTTGACTTAACTCTTCTGTAATCCCCTATGAGCTTTCTCTACCTCTTACTATAGCGGCAATTTCTCATATTCTCCCATTTTCTGTAATAAAAATATCCAACCTTATCCATTCTAACACCTCAAAGCCTGCCACCACCAGTATAATTAAGTGATATCATCTCACACTTTTGTGAAAAACAAAACAAAACAAAACAAAAAAAAAAAAAAAAAAACAAGCAACCAGACCAGCAATCTCAACAGGGGTCCTAAGAAAGTTTTGACAGTACATCCGCATCCACCCTTTTTCCATTTCCTCCTGGGGGTGGGGACAGAGTCTGGAGGATGGATGGTTAAATAGTACCAGGCTCAGCCATCCAAAAGGAGGCCAGGACCTCAAGAGCCAACTATTACATAGCGATACAAATGCCATGCACATTTCTTAATTTATCCTGCCTACTCTAACTGGAGACTTGATAAAATGTTTATTCTTTTTGGCCTTAGACCAGCCCAGTGCTATTCGTACTGCCTGTGCTCCGCATCCCATTTCTTCCCACATTCTCGGAAACTTAGTTCAGCCCGTGGGCCTGTATTCATCCGCCTGTGGCCCCTTCCTCGGCAGTGAGACTCGTCCACATCTTCCTCATCGTGGAACATTCTTTCCCTGATTCTATCTGCTGCCCTATTGTCTCTTCTTCAGAGCAGAAGTTTTTCTTTTTTTTCTCTCCTCCCTACCTCCCTCCATCCTTCCTTTGTTCCTCCCTTTAATAAATATTCACTGAAATCCTACTATGTGCCAGGCACTGTTGTAGGAACTATATATGCCCTTAGGATATATCAGCGAACAAAGAAAGATCTCTGTCTCTAGGGCTTCTGTTCAGGGGAGAAAGGCTAACTAAATCACCAACATAAATGAGATATACTATATGTAAAATGTATGTGGTAATTTATGAAGAGGTAAAATGGGATAGAGGGGAATGAAAGTGTTAGGGGAGCAAATTGGAATTTTAAACTGTGCTCAGGGTCTCATGGAGGGACATGAAAGCAGACTTAGAGGAGGTGAGGGTGGGAGCCTTGGGGAGGAACATCTCGGGAAGAAAGGATAGCCAGTGCAAAAGCCCTAAGAGGAGAGAGGGTGGCTGGCACATTTGATGAGGACCAGGAGTCCAGCATGGCTGGACAGAACAACCAAGGGACAGAGCAGTAGGTATTAGATCAGAAGTAACACAGAACCTCAAGAACTAGTGTCAGGATAATGGTTTGATCAGAGAATCAGGGTGCCATACCATCCATACTTTTACCAAATATGTAAGATAATATTTTTGCAGCATGGTTTATAATTATTCCATGCTGGGGACAACCAAAATGTCCATCAACAATCTTACAATTAGAGACTATATTAACACTGTGGAAGACCATGCAACAGTAAAAATTCACAAGTAGGTATACACAGTAACCTGAAGGAATTTTATCAGTGCTGTTTTCATAAGGTTTCCTCATAACAGCTTCAAAGAATGAGCTGGTGTTGTCAGCAGACAGTGTCCTGTACCACTGTGGTCACTGAAGCCTCACATGCAAGACCCGACCCTGGGGCTCTGGGAGTTCTGTGCCCACTGGAGTGGAGGCTTCTTTCCAGGTTTTGGCCCAACAGTCACACCTATAACAGATCCTTAGGGAGCTCCATGTCCAGGTGGTCCGAGAGAGAGAGTGACATCCTTTTCACGTGGCTGGCATGAGAACTGACTTGAGAAAAGAGAAAAGCATGTATTTTAAATAGGGGTCTGTGGATAAACAGTGCAGTATTGGACCAAGGGAGATTTTACAGCCCGGCCTAACATCTCTTGAACTTTAAGGGCCACAGCCAAACCTGAGGCTTCAATAGATGCCTCAATAGATATCTAGGCTCATCTATGGTTAGAGGGAGTATAATTACTACAGTGGGGAACCCAAAGGAGTTGTACAGAGGGCTCTGAAGAAACTTAAGACTCCAAACAATAGCATCAGCTCTGCGTGATATGCCCAGGTCACACCTACGTCTATGTCTTGGACTGGTTCTGGTGATCACTTTGGTGCTGCTGCTGCCAGAGTATCTGGCCTTCCAATTTTTAAATCTCACCTTCACACTCATCTAGGTTCAAGGTTCAAGCCTCTTCCTCCCTCTTTGAACATTGGGTAATTTGTCTTCTTAAAAGAGACTTCAACCTTATTTTCCTCTTTCCTGCTTTTAAGAATACATTTCCCGAGATTTCTTCTGGAAGGAATCCCAAGTCCTTGCAGTTCTTGCACCTAAAGATCACTCTGGTTGTTACATTGAGAATAAACTGCAGAGGCAGCAATGGTCAAGGTAAGGAGACTTATAGTAATTTACATAAAAGATCAGTGGGGGCGGTGGAAGTTGAAGAAATAGATCTGGATATATTTTAAAGGCAGAATGAACAGGGTTTGCTAACAGAGGTTATAAGGGGCTTGAGAAAAGGGCTCAAGAGAGTCCTGTTTTGGCCCAAGCAACTGGAAGGACTGAGTGCCATCACTGAAGTCATCGAGGGGCTGGAGGCGTAGGCTTGGGGAAGATCAGGAGGCCAGTTTTGAACATGCTGAGTTTTGAACATGCCCATTTGTCTTATAGACTGGACAGTCAAGGATGGAGTTAAGGAAAAAGCCTGGATATATATATACATTTGAGAGTCTGTGCCATATTATGATAGTTATAGACATGAGATGATAAGAGTCCCAAATATGTCAGAATTAGCAAAAGAAGACTTATGACTCAGCTCTGGGTTTTTGGAAAGTTTTAAATATAAAGTGGAGTAACTCTTGAAAGAGTTTTCCCCATGTAATATTTCTTCTCCGCCCCCCCTCTCTCCCCGCCCCCTCCCACTCAAACACACACACACACTCATTCCTCGCTTACCCTCAACCCTCTACAGTCTGGATTCCACATCCAACGCTACGTTCTCGAATGATCTCCACATTCCTAGACTTGCAGGTAACTTCTTAGTCCTTCTGACTTCACCTCTTTGTCTTTACCACTGCAGTCCATTCTGGCCTTCTTACCCTGACCCTTTTTCGTTCCCTGGATACTGCACATCTGTGAGTTCCCTCCCACCTCTCTGGCTGCTCCTATTTTGCCTGCTTTGCCAGTTCCTTAAATATTGGTATTTTGTCTTTCTCACTAAATAACTTAATCTGCAGTTTATGCTTGTGACTCCTCAATCTGTATCAGCTGAGTCCTACCTGTTGAATTCAGGCCCATGAATCCAACGCATCATCTGGCATCTCAGGCAGACATTTCCCAGGCAAACCTTACCTAGTCTTGTCTCCTCACCTCAGGGAATGGCACCACCAATCCAGTTCTTCAAGTTAGAAAATCTCAAAGTCATTCTTAACTTTTCTCCCACATCCCAAATATCTAAGTATCCTAAACATTGATTCTAAATATCTCTTAAATTAATTGCTTCTCTCTGCCCCAACTGCCACTACTCTGGCATCAGTTGATATTATGTCTCAACTAGGTCACCAGCCAACATCCTAACAGTTCTCCCTGCCCTGCTCTTTGCAACCCACATCTCTGTAGACCTAACAACAAGCCATATAAAGTGTGATACAATCATGTTATATATATTAGTTAAGAATATTCACATTGCAGGTTACAGAAAGTCTAACCCATGTGGGTTTAAATCAAATAAAAAGGAATTGTCTGTCTCAACGGAAAACTTTAGACGTAGTTAATTTCTGTTATAGCTCGATCCTGGACTCAGATTACAAGTCACCAAGCTTCATCTAGCAGTTCTGTCTTCTTCGTGTCAGCTTTAGCTACCGGTCGTCTCCTCCTGTGATAGCAACGTGGCCACAGCAGTTTCTAAGCATCATACGGTAACACTAGCAAATCCAGCAAAAGAGGACACTTTCTCTCCAAAGCTCCAGCAAATGGTATATATAGCATGTCTTACTGGCCCATCCTGAGCTACCTGCTGTGGCCAAGAAGGTTGGACATGTGAAAGAACTTCTGCAAGGTCAACTGACCAAAACTGCACTGGGACAGAGTGATGGGACAGAGTGATGAAGGAAGGGAATGGATGAGCAAACATCTTAAGTGACTTTTAAATCCCTTCAATTATTCTCCACCACTCTTCACATGAAGGCTGGTCCCCATTGGAACCTACAA